GCTTGTCAAAAACTCTTAGTTCGGAGGACTTTGATAAATTATAAATAAAGGCATGGTAGAATCCATCAACAAGTCAAAAAAAAACAAAATGCCAGAATAAGGAGTTTAGATATAAGAGCCAAACCAAAGCGGAAATAACATAAAAAATAGGAAAAGAAGGGGCAAAAAAGATTATAACATAAAGTGATAATCCTATCCGAAACAGTTTTGGACGTTACCACAAAGAGGTTCTATCAAATGGTTTTAATTTTGTGTAGTCAAGTATTAGAAACTAAGGCAATGGAAGTAATGGTGAAGCTCAGCATTTTTTGCCGATAAGCTTCTAAAGAACCAGAGTGATAACGATTCAGAGATTATTCATATAATGTATAGCAAAGTATATGAACCACATATCAATAAGTAAGTTATAAACGTTATAAGATAATTTAAAAATACTCGTAGATATGAAAACCAAGATTGCGGCCTTTTCTGTTTGTTAGCCGGCTACTCTACCTCTATAGTGTTGGCTCGATATTGTTTTCGCTTTCGTTTGTCATTTTGATAAGTTGTAGCTCTATGTTTAACGATGGCACCTCTCACGGACGATGCCGGCGAAATGGCTGGGAATGCACCTAACCAATGGTCCAATGCTGGAAATCACGAATCTAATGAGAGGGGGTGCGGGCCGAGGTAGGCTCCAACCAAGTTGCGAAAACAAGGTCGAAACAGCATTATAAAATAATATTTTTCGTATATCAGCAGAGTTTCTAGACTACCAGTATATCAGTTATATGAGATATATTCCCCCTATTTCGTTTAAGGTGATGAAGGACTGGTGATAGAATTATCCCATAATTATATGAGTAGAGCTAACGTTTCCATTGAAGTTCGCATAGCATTGCTTTCACAAAAGTTGTTCTCATCCAGGATGGTCTACAGTTTCGACCTCACATAGATCTTATCAACATTACCAGTGGGAGTGGAACCGTGACGGTACAGCACTCAGCCTCATCGTCACGAGTGCCTTTGGGTCACATGGCAGATGTGAATTTTAAGGAAGGCCAGGCCTTATCCTAATCCACAATATTTAGTGGATTGTCATAAACCTATCCATTTATAAGACCATCCAAAATCCGCTAAACTATTTTCCATATAAATTAACCTGGCCATAACTACAACTGCCTCTTCCTTGCTTACTCTCAACAATATTTTATAATGTAGAAAAACTGGGTTTCGAAGAATTCCTTAATATATTGATGTTGGAGAATAAGGAGAATTCCGGCTGAGGGCTTATCAAATATCACAATATTTAGTGGAATTGTCATTAAAGTGAACGTATTTTTGCTATAACACTCGACTGCATTACCTATTTTTCGTATATCAGCAGAGTTTCGAGACTACCAGTATAATAGTTATGATATGGTCGAAACTGCAGTCCACCCTGGATGAGAACAACTTTTAGGAAAGGAAGGCTATGCGAAATTTAATGGAAACGTCAGCTATACTCATATCATTGTGGGATAATTCTAGAACCAGCCCTTCATCACTTAAAATGAAATAGGGTGAATACATCTCATATAAATGACAAACTGGTAGTCTCGAAACTTTGTTGATATACGAAAAATAGGTAGTTATCGATTCTGATAGCAAAAATACACTTGCCTTATCGACAATCCCACCAAATATCGTGATATGTGATAAGGCCTAAGCCAAAATTCTCCTTAGTCTCAAACATCAATATAATAAGGGATTCTTCGAAACCCAGTTTTTCTACATTATAAAATAATGTTGAGAGTAAGCAAGGAATAGGCAATTGTAATTATGGCCAAGCTAATCTATATGGAAAAAGTTTAGCAGACTTTAGATGGTTTTATAAATGGATAGGTTTATGACTTGGTACTCTAAGGATACTCTCAAAGCTTTACATAAGGTTTGCATTCCGTAAAAATTAACGCAAATCTTAAACGATTGTATGCATGTATGTGTATGGTCTGCTAAAAATTGACAATAAAGCCCACTTAGGATTATCGCTAATAAGAAGGGCTACATAATAAATAGAGGATCACGACTAGTTTGCATCAAATTAAGGATAATCTATGAATCTTGACAATTTTAAATAAGGAATTATAATGACTTGGTTAGTTTAGTACATGAGTAAGCGATAAAAAGTAGTGATTATTATGTTATTTCTGATGTAGTGTAATAATACTCTAGTCATTCGGCAAGAGGGTAAGATTCCTAATGGGTGACAGCTCAGCAGAATGAGATTATGAATTAAAATTAAAACAGAAACGAGCAAGAGATGTAAAAATCTGCTAATGAATCTGTCACTGAAAATATCTTATCATCGGATTATTTATCGGGAAGGA